TCCCAAAACAAAACCAAAACCAAAACCAAAATCGAAACCAAAACCACACCAAACCAAAACCAAAAAAACCAAAAAATAGGTATATCTCATTCATCGCATCGCATTACATCTACACCATCGTCGTTATCATCACATCACATCACATCGTACCTATCATCGCGTCGTTGCCAAAACACGCCCAACTCGTTCCTCGACACACCCTTGTCGTTAGCTCCTGCCCTTGAAGGATAAAATGTTCATCCACCCCCTACTCAATCCTCCTCTCCCCGCCTTCTCCCCCTCCTCCCCATCCATGCTACCCTCCCCCACCCCGTTACCCCCCTTCCCCGCACTGGCTCCGTGAACGTCGTCAAACACATCGACGCGCGTGCTCGCAAACTTGCTGCACTGACGCCCTTCCGAAGAGGAGGTCGAGCTCCGCGAAGGTTGTCAAAGTCGATTTCAAGCTCAGAGATGAAACCCAGGATCGCAGGGAAATAAAACGCGGATAAGAATTCAGTACCGAACCGTAATAAATACATTTAAATTAAGTTCTACCGAAAATCAGAATGGCGTGGCAACAAGGGGAGCTGGACGCAAAGACTTGGTGGAGCTGGAGACGCACGCACGGACTTGGTGGAGCTGGGGCTGCACGCAGGGACTTGAACATGAACCTGTAGATTTGAAGGGCGCAAGGATTTGAAGGGCTCGAAGGTTGACGCGGGACTTGAACCCCATCGCGAGAGCGGGTCGTGTGTCGGCCTTGAGTGCGTAGAGCAGAAGCACTGTGCGAGCGGGGATAGAGAGTGCGTGCACGGTCCTGAGCCGAGATGTAGCGATAAAATAAGGGAGAGTCCAAGTTGATGACCAAGGGCTCGGTGGTGCGGGGTTAGCAGAAGAGTGAGAGAGTCAACGAGGATGTCCAGACGGGCGGAGTGGGTTGATGGATGTGGTAAGTACAAGAAGGGAAGACGCGAACGGGCGACCGCCTCGAGGTAAATTAGAAGCATTGCTCCGCTGACAGCGGACGCATCTCGCGCGAAGAACCCGGCATGGGGCTGGGACGCGGCGTATTTTTTTGGGAAGCGAAGCATCTCCGGTAAGGCGCAAGGTCGGGGTCGGTGGGCGATTCAGAGCGCGACGATATGAGAAGCAGAGGATGCGACTGCCTGGAGATATGGACAGGATTGAGTGTGGGGATAATGGGGCGAACTCCAGTACGCACCTCGGGAAGCGGAATCGGCGAACAAAACGAGGCGCAAGGATCGTGTTTGCAGCGTTTGCCTCCGGGTATCTTGAAGGAGCTTCGACGACGTTGATGCGTGCTTGCGCGAATGCAATTGGATGGGCATCGAGAGGGAGCAGGAAGAGCATGAGGGGAAAGCACGATAATGACGTGGAGGATCGCAGCCCTGAAACGCAACAGAATCAGCCAACGAAAGGCAGTGTCCGATGGACATCTCTCACCTAACGTACGGGAACGGTGACGCCCTCGAGCAGGTAGATAGGATGGCGCAGATACCAGGATAATCAGAGCTGAAGGGCAGGAAAAACGAAAGATATGCCGCACCGTAGTTCCGACATCACGATGTCCTGCTGCCACTTTCGCTCGGAGACGATAGTCGTGGATGTGAGATGAGCTGTGGATGCAAGGATGGTCAGAGCTGAAGAGCAAGAAAAATATAACGCTATGGCTCGGCTATCGATGCTCTGTATCACCCTCCCTCGCCAGCGTCGAGGGATCACGACCTCGCTATGCCGAGCGATGTACAGCATTGGCGGAGAAAATAGCCGTGGATGCGAGACGACGATGATCGGAGCTGACACCTAGGAAAGACGAACGACGTACCGCACTGGCTCCAATACTTTGATGCGCTGGTGCGAGCTCCCTCCGGTATCCCTCGCCGGCATGTGAGAGGTCGGCCGCCGCGCACAGTTCCATCGGCGCGCTGGGAGCTCGCAGGAAGGGGACTGCTTGCGGCGCCCGAGGGAACCTATCGGCTCGCCGGGAGCTCGCAAGGAAAAGACTGCTTGCGGCGCGGAAGAGATTGCCAAGGCCATGTTGATACCGTACAGCCCGAGGGCGAAGTCGTAGGACTTGGCGGGGGCGAGGCCGGCTTGTTCGAGGAAGTAGCTGAGCGAGGGAAAGAGTAATGCGAGGGAGGAGAGAGAGAGTTGAACGCGAGAGGGAGAGGAAAGTAAAGTCGAGTTAGTAAAATAATGGGGGAAATGAGGGAAGGGAGGGGGACATACGTGCTGTAGCCCGTGAAGGAGTTGCCTGCGAGGTTCTGCGTCGCCCAGACCATGCAGCTGCATGGCAGATTGTCTGCGCAGACAATCTGTGCGCGTAAGTGAAGGGAGGGAGGGGAGGAAGGGGAAGGAAGGAGACAACGCACCTCCGTCCTCCTCAAATCCGTGCCCTTGAAACAATCCCAATAGGTCGCTCCCGCGTAATCTTCTCCAACATCGTCGTGTGCCTCATCATCGCAATCGTCTCGTCCGCGTCAAAGTCCGTCTCCCTATCGAGACCGTGAGCCTGAGCAACGCGTGCTTCGCGTCCTCGAGGCGACCGCGGCGCACGAGCCACCAGGGGGACTCGGGGGCGAGGGCGACGCCGATGAGGAGCGGGACGGGCCACATCCACTGCAGGGCGTACGGGATGCGGTAGGCCCACTGGTCGGTGCGCGGGAGCATGGACTTGATGACGCCGATGCCGACGACTTGGCCGAGGCCCAGCAGAAGTTGACGTAGGTGGTGAGGTACCCGCGACGGGGCACACCTCCGGAGCTTGGGTGTGCGTCAACGAGAATTGTCATAAGACAGGACAAATCACATGGTCTATTTACGGTTGTTAATTTCCAATCTAACTCGGGCCGAGATGCCGCCGATTTGGTTGGATTATTTTACGGAAACATAATTCACCGGGATGCGTGTGGATGAAAGAGCTAAACGAGAACGCTGTTTGTACGCCCCCAGCCCGCTGTTGCATCGCATGAAACGCCATTCGTCCCTTTCGGTTCACTGCACGCGCTGCCGGCACGCCCAAGGCACGCCGCGCACGGCGGATAAATTGCTTCTGAGGACATTGCGAAAGCGCCGTGGAATGTATTTATACCTTTGGATCCTGCAGTCACTACGTATAGTATGTAACTTACTCCCCAAACTCGATCGTCGGTTGAACTTTCGTCAGGCTTCTCGGCGATCTCACAAAAAATATATGGGCCGGATAATTCCCCGCCAAATGTGAGTCGAGCCGCTGTTCAGTGGAACTGATGGTAAAGCATTGTTCAAGGTACGATTGGGTACTCTGTGGGCGCACGATTAAAGGTTCCAAGCAGATGCGTTTGTGCTCGGCTCCCCTCATGTGGTAGAAACACTGTGGCCACAATCTGCGTGACCACCCACAAATAATGTGGCCACAAAGCAGCCTTAACAACAAAGCGGTGCCTCCATTTGGAGGCCTTGTTCTCCCCGAGGGTGACGTATGCTCAGAGCTCGGGTATAAAAAGAGGGCGGAGAATCAGTTTGCCTCCTCACACTACCTGCATCTCAGATGTCAGCCAAACGAAAATCTCGTCGAGTGCCTAGAGAGAACTGATTCCAGCGCCCTGGGGCACATTCAACGTTGTTCGACGGATGGTGGCTTGAGTGGACCAATTCCACCTTAGTAATGTCATAGTCTGAATACTGGCCCAGCCGAAGTCCCGGTTCATTCCAAACTGGGACCCGTCTCAGTATGTTGGTGTCTTCACTACCATTGTAGCTACTGAACTGAAGACCAGGACAGTCGTCGACCTAACAATCACTACGGAGAGTAGAAGCACGAGATACAGAAGGAACAAGTGCAACGAATGGAAGGTACCGCCGGCTTCATTCCCCACGTCTTCCACCATCGTTCTGAAAAACCATGTTGGTAGTTAACACAGGAGAAGAGGAAGATTGAGCTTTCCCTCTCCCAGGGCCCAAAGAAGGAAGACGGTTTGACAACAGCCGAGAGAATGTCGATCACAATCATCGTCGCAGATTCACTCGGAAGAGATGACCACTCGAAATGGCCGCTTCCGTGAAGGTCCAGTTAATCGAGGTGGTGGTTGAGAGGATTGTGCAGGAGCGTTCGGTCGGTATAAATAAGGCACGCTAGAACTTGCATATGTGGAGTGATTCATCCAACATTACAGCACTTCTTGGAAATAATGGCAATATTTTTTTCGGGCACTTCCCAAAAAGGGAACTCATACTGTCTGGGAGTCGCCACGAGCGCTGTTCCGCATCTGTACACTATAAAATCCATTTGATATCTTGGTTAGATGTCCAGACCCCAAAGATATGTAGGAGAACTAAAAAATCATGACTTAATTTTTCGATCAACTGGATTCGTGGAGTTGACATATCTTATTGGCGCGCGCATATGGTTTCGCTGCAGGCACTCTCCATGTGGCTCGCAACATCATTCCTAGTCAAATATAATTCATTCCAACCCTCGGGGTGCACCAGTGGGAAGGATATCGCTCTGTATAGCGGGGAGTTTCCTTTTCGGGAATCACGCAAAAAAAATGTGTGTTTATCATTATTTTCAGGAAGTGCTGTAATGGAACACCAGAATCTTTTGACACGAAATTCAGTGAATGAAATAATCCTCACAGGGGAGCCTACATCTGAAAGCCACAAACCGTGGGTGCGCGATAAAAAGGCTACCTGTACATAGCGGTGTATGTACACACGCGTATGGCCACATCCGAAATCCCGGCATGAACAGCCCAGGGATCAACAATTTTTGTATCGGCTGGAGGTTATATCCGCGCATTTTACCGGCGATAGGGTGGGGGCTTCAGGAGCGACGCCACGGGGGTACAGGAGCTGCACGTCTACAATATATTTAGTATCCAATTCGAAATCAGTTTGTACCATTGGCAAGGGGCGATCCGATCGGTGAATCTTTCTGAACCTCTGTTCCCAACATTTCTTATGAGTGAATGCAGAAAATGGGCTGCACCTACCGAGGTTGAAATTAGAGTGAAGAAGCACCAGTGGTGTATGGTACACACGCCGACCTGGAGATAACACATCTTCATCGGTGAGACGGTCGGGGTTCGATTCCCTGCTGGTGCATGAGTGGTGATTTGTAAGAACCTTTTTTTTTCGCTTTTTTCATTGGTTTCAATCCAGAAAATATAGTGCATATGAGAGGGCTAAAATAGAGGTACAGCGCACCAGTGCTGTATCGACCCTATAATTTTGAAATGAGATTTCGAAGCCAAGAACGGGCTCGATTCCCCGCTGGTGCATCGTCTTGGACTTTTCATCTTCTTTTTTATTATTGAACCGTCTTATAATCCGCCCAAATTTGTCGCAGGCAATGAGGTTGGAAATAGAGGGAGGAGGTGTATAATACACACGCAGAATTCTTACTTTCTATCCAGTCTATTGATCGGTGGTGCGGGGTTCTCTTTTTATTCATTCCATTGGAAATGCAGGAAAGTAAAGTGCACTTGCGCAAGCCGGAAATACAGGTAGAGCGCACCAGTGGTGTGTGGTACACACGCCGCCCTCACGAGTGGGTGTAGGTTTGAATCAACTGAAATGCGAGGCGGGGTTCGATTTCCACTGGTGCGTGCATCCCAACGCTGAACTTTTTCTCCCACACTGGCAGTGGCGGCTGAGTGGTCTCTTCGTACTTTCATTTGGTTTTGGTCGCACGAGGGCATCAACCCCTAGTTGAATTGTCGGTAATCCGGGGTGGGTACTCTTGTGCCATGGGGATCCTCCTTGATCGAGGAAAATACCCTGTTACAACCCACAATCCAATATGTACAAAGCCAGACAGGCCCGGAGTTCCGAAGGAGTACGGCATGGTTATGATTGCTGGTGCATCAGTTCGGGTTCATCTCTTTTCCCTCCAAGTTTCACCGGCAGTCCTTTAACAAACCCTATTCCCATTCCTGACTTCCTCCAATAACCGCTACGGTAAACGCGTCATCTCCATGACGACTATATTCCTGGCCAGGGACGAGGACTCCGCCGGTACATAGATGATACTACCTCTCTTTTTTTCCCAACCTTACACAGACCACTGCCCGGCCCCGGCTGCCGTCTGGGTTTTGACATGAGAAAACCGTGCATCTTATTCATCGTATATGCCCAGTAGTACATCGTCGTTATCATCCCATCACATCGCGGAGTTGTCGAAACACACCCGGCCTCTTCTCCCTCGACATCGGATTCTGAAAAATAACAACACTCGTTGGTTCGAACACTCAACCCGCCTCCCCCACCCCCCACCCCCCCTTGTCATCCTCTTCCGCCTCCTCCCCAAAGCCCCCCCTCACTCGCGAAACACATCCACGCGCGCACTCGCAAAGTCACGCGCTCTCCCGCCCTTCTCGAAGAAGAGATCCAGCTCCGCGAAGGAGCGTCCCGCCCTGGGACTGGGGGATGGTAATTAGCGTCTACTTTCCGGATACTCGCAAGGAAAGGAAAAATTCGTCGGAGACACGACGTGCTCCCGCGTCCAGCCCACAAAACAAGTTGTTCCAACGCCAAAGAAAGATGTAGGGGGGAAGTATGAGCCTGAAACGAGAGACGTACCGCACCTCCGGCACCGTGAAATACGCGACCCGTTCCAGAAGAAGCCCGTGAAGCTGCCCCACGCCCACGGGGTGGAGCATGTAGGGCGTGCGCACGGAGTAGACAATGTTCTGAGTTGGGTGAGGAAGTTGCGGTAACACAGAGCGCGATAGAGAGGAAGGAAGTAGGTCAAATTTGATAAAGCGGGGGAGGGTTTTGAATCGGTTAATAAAAGCGGGTTGAATGCGGGATAGGATTCATGAAGTTTGGCGTGGAAGGAGGGATAGGACGGCGCCATAAAATCGTTTGAAGAAGAGAGGCATGGGGGCGATGGAGGGCAACAGGAGGAAGGAAGCGAGTGATAAAATGGTTGAGGTACGTGGAGGAAAGGGGAGGCAGAGGGAAGGGGAGGTGAATCATTTGCCGTGCGCAGATGGGGAAACGCGGGAAGAAAAGAAACAAAGGAAAGACCACATATTACAAATTGCGCCCCAACACCACACTCTTGCTCATTAACTGCCTCGTGCTAAGCTAGCCTACGAGCGAGTACACGACCGTGCCGTTAGATCCCCGCACAGCTGTTGCGTGGGGGGCCTGCGAAGGAGAAGTTAACGAGGAAAAGAGAGGGAAGCGAGCAGGCAGGATGTAGACTACCAGAAATTCCGACGTGCAGACGGAAATCCAGGAGTGCAACAACGCCCACACAAAACTAAGAACACCACGCACCTGATCCCGATGCCTCTCCACCAGGACACGAACGCGTCAGCGTACTCGACCGCGAACGCTCGTCGCCCACAGAGCCGAGGTCGTGTCCCAGATCCTGCAATCGCAAAGAGGTGTGGTTGACGGAGGGAACGCGAGCCACCTTCTACTGCCTAGGGGAGTTGCTTGGGAGTGGCCACAATTACGGGTGAGGATACCTGCTGGCATGAGCATGCTTCCACATTGGAAGGAGAGTGGCGGAGGGACTGGATGCATTGCACTCTTCTAGGAATTCTCGAGGTTTGGGCTGTTCGCCATTCCGTTGTGCCACCGAGGAAAGGAAAATCATATCGTCTACTGTACCATTTCGACCGGATGTTCATCAATTTCGGAATTTTCGATGTCCGGGATGCTCGATAAATTTTCTTTTAAATTAAGGCGATTTTTGCACACATCAAAAAAAAAACGGCTGTGACCTGTGACTGAACATGGTCGAAATGGTACAGTATTTAATGGTGGGTGTTTCGGGCGACGATGATGAGGGCATGTGGCCCTTATTCGACGGACCTGGTATTTACGGCTATTGATTTCTAAGCAGGTCGGGCCGAGATGCCGCTCATTCCGTTTTATTGGAAAGAAAATACACCTGGAGTAAGATCACAACGGAGTATTACATCACCCCTCTGCTTCATTGCATCAAACACCATCCGTGCCTTCCTTGATTATTGGTCGCTCTACGCCGCCCAACGCCACCCACATTGGATGAACTCCGTCTGAGAACATCGAGAAAGCGCTGGAGTATTCATATATACCTTCTCGTCCCCGAGAGTCCTGTAGATTGTGTACGTACAATATTGCCAAAGCTCAAACCTCAGTTGAACTCCTGTCGGGCTTCTCGGGGATCCTATAAATCTATGGCTCTGCTCAATTGCAGATCGATATTCGGCTCTAATCAATCGATGGGTCCGAAAGACCGGCCATGATCTCCCGCAATTCAACAGACGACCCACTGAATGTCAGAGGAAGCCAACCTAATATTCCTGATTCTGTTTGATCACTCTGATATGCTCGGGCATCTCGGACAAGCCGAACTGCACAAATGCACCATGTAGCTGACCCGCGAGCACGTCCTGTATCTTTTCGACTGAAATGACACTTCACCAATGAGTGCCTGAACAGCCAATTGTGTCTACAATTCCTCTTTACCCTCCTGACAATTAGGAAAAAGGGGCTCTCCTGCAGTGTTTCTGTCACTTGAATGGGAGGCAGTTGATTTCAGTAAGGTGAGATGCGTATTTGAGGACTGATAAGCAGAACATTGGCGCTTCGATGGCATGTCCGATGGGTTGTTGGGCCCCATCGCTCCGCAGCTGATTCCATTACTGGATTGATAGCGCGGTGCTCCGGGTTTGCATGCATCTACAGCTAAATATACAGGACAAGAATAGTTCGGTACCCATCTCCGTAGCATCAAAGATGGAAATAAAAAAGCTGTATGGAATGGGTGCAATTGAAAGCCGGCCATTTTTGAATAGAACGGATAATAATCTGATCAAATCTCACGGGTGTCTGAGAAACGCACAGGACGCCACGTGTACTCCACGTCACTTCCCACCCCACACAATATCTCCGTCTTACCCTCATCCCTACTGCTGGAGCAGCGTGAAAAGCAACAAATACAGCGTCCTGACGAGCATGCAGATATCAGGTCATTCCTCCCCCTTCCCGAACGTCTCTTTGTATACACTGATTCACCACTTCACGCAGAAATCTCCACGACCGCCCTAGGGCCAGAAAAACTGAAACACCTCTCCATACATGTCTCTGTGGACAGCAAAACTATCAAGAAGCAAGGTTTCGAGAAGAAAGCCACGTCTGGGCCATGTGTTATCAAGTTTCAGCCTCCTTAGTAAGTGATGGCAACACTCCCCGATCTTGCTGAACCAGCCGAAATCATAGCTCTGTGCAAACCACCCTGATGGTGGAACTCATCAAACGACCTACCATTGGAAAGACAACAGTGCTGGGTGCCACCACATTCACAGTTCAGGATGCAGAAGAGATTCTTCGTGATCGCAATGTCTTGAAGCTCACAGGTATGTTGGTGTGTTTTGGGATCATTCTTATACTCTGGTGTACACTTAGACCACCTGTTGTCCAATGGAACAGCGGAATTCCGACTTAGCTTCAGCATGGTGCGTCACCTGAATGAGATGTCCTTCCATGTCTGATCAGGACCAAAAGAAACCCAATGCAAGCCACGCCATAATCCGAGAAGCAGGGCTGGTTGCCAACAACATCAGGAGTGCATTGGAGCACTTGGGGAGGAGCTATCAAGTATTTGAAGGCCTGTTCAAACTTTCTCTCGTGGCAAGCGAGGTGAGTCAGTCCTGCATCTGTGAGGGCTGAAATGACCTGTTGGTTCTTTAGCTCCATCCCACTGCAAAGGCAGTCCTTGCCAGCGTGGATCAAGTCAATCAGGTACAGTTTTTGTTATCTTTCTTAACCAGGTCATTAATCTTGTAGATCCTCCATGCAGAAGACAAATGTGTCAAGGATATACAGGATCTTGTGGATGACATGGCTTGCTCTCTGGATTTCATGACAGATGTGAAACAGTTTTCCTACCTGGACCAACTGAAGCAAGCATTAACAGAGGTTGAATCTCTCATGCTGAATACTGTCAACTTTATATCCCGATACAAGTCTCGGTCTCTTGGCAGTAAGTTCAAGGTCCTGGACTCTATAACCTAATTCTGATTCCCATGTACAGCCAAACTCATTTCGTTAACATTTAGTTCAACTATGAGAGATGAACTTGATAAGCTCATTCAAAATTTCAA